CAGTCATCAACTCACTGACATACAAACGTAAAGCAATAGAAGATAATTAAGTAACCCATCCATCAGTTGTTTGGTCCCAAAAGTGATGCAGTGAATCACCAGGAAGGCAGACTTATTTCTAAGCCCTCATCAATTTCTAGTATACGGCTCGTTGGATGTTACCTTAAGTCTTAACTCTATTGACAGAATGAGAAGCTGGCCCTAGTTTGTAGAAAAGATGTAATTTCACTTTTGAATCTACTGTTTGAAGACAGAGCAGGGTTTCACATAGTGTTTGACTGGTAACCAGTTGTAGATTTTGAAGCATCCAACATAGAAGCAATGGATGAGTCTCCGAGAGCAGAGGAGCCCACTGAGGGATTGCTTTCAGAGAGAAAAGCCGAAGATTTGCCCTGAGAGAACCTACTGTGAGGAATAGAGGAGAAAGAAGTGTTATTAAAGTAAATAGAGAAAAAAATTGATTAGAAAAGTAATAGGAAAACAAGAAAAATCAAAGTCTCTGAAGCCCCAGCCATGGGATGACAGAAGATATTCAGTTTATAAAGGAAGCACTGATAATGCATTTTTGGAATTTTATGCTTTTGTGTTGGGGGTACATGTTCCTTCCATTAATCAGCAGATAGCTAAAAATTTTCTGGCAATGCAAAAATAAATTTAGCTAAGAAGTACCTACAAATAGGAAAGGTAATGAAAATATTCAGTTCTTCCTTTTAAAAAGATTTTCACTCTGCTATGAAATTTCCATAATCATAAAGGGTTTCATGATAATCCTCAGGCCCCTAATTTTTCTACTATCTGTTTTACTTATTAGGAAAAACTGATTAAAGTGTTGGAAATAGAAGTCATTTTGTTCTCTTTCATCATGTGTTGAGTGGTTGAGAAATCAGCTAGGGAGACTGGCAAAATTAACTGGCAAAAGCTTCCATTTGCCCCAAACTGATCCAGTCCTGCTTCCATGTTTGGAAATGATTTCTTGAGCTTATCCACATTTTGTTGGCAGGTCATATCTTTGGAGAATGACAGGCACTTTTCTCCCTACCACCCGTTAGCCATGATCCTGGCCTTGAGGAATGCAAACTGCCTGTAATGTTCAGAATCTGAGGGCAGATAAACTGAGGACCAAGTGAAACTGAGGGTGCAGCCATTAGGTGAGAACAAACTCCATTGCAGGCACACATTGCTGAGCTTGCCTCGTGGTGGTGTATTTTGTCCCATCATGTGAAAAAAGAAATGAAACAGAGGACATTTTTAAAAGTAGGGTACAAGATGAGAGTTAAACATATATGAGAATGAATTCAATGATTACATTGGATTCTAAGAAAGAAGCACTTCTATACTATCTTCAGTGATAGTGTATATTCTCGCCCCCAAAGTCAGATACTTTTTACAAGGCATCCTGGGCAAATATCTATCCTGTTAGATCATTGCAGTGAGTATGCAGACAGTAGTTTCTGTCCTATTTAAGTATATTTTCATCTAGGAAAAAAACTAAACTTTAAACCTATCTACAATTTCAAAGATGGGTTAATCCAGTTTAAGGCCATAGTCACACAAGCTGACAGACAAATCATTTTGCCTGACTTACTGATCTGTATTTTCAGTAACTGCTATTTCAATACTTAATATATCTGCAATAATAAGGAAAACTTATGACATTTGAATTTTCATGTCTTTAGACCTAGTCCCAATACTTATTTTTAAGTTTTGCATCTTTAAGTTTTTTAAAACATCAGATTTTACTTATTCTTTCTATCAGTAGATCAAATACGCAGGAAAATGAGGATCAATCGACTTCTAAAAATTAGTATTATTAAATGTTGCTATGATGTATTCCGTTGTCTGTATGTAAAACCTTTATTGCAAAGATACATCCCTAATCCTTTTACCTAACAACTTGCATTAAGCTTTTTTTTTTCCTTTGCATTAAGCTGGAAAATCTGTTATTCATCTTTAAGTACTGCCTCCAGGCAAACTCATTGTAGCATAAAGGCCAGAGTAGTCCTGGATACATTCTGTCCTGGAAATGTAACTACTTCTACTCAACTACTGGTCAGGTGATGCCTCTCGCTGAGATGGGAGTGCAGCCCATCAGGATGTACATTGCATAAGAGGAGGACTACCCATGAAGACCATCTACTGGGCTTTTGGCTCTATTAAACCTAATTCTAGAATATGGAGCAGGTGCCAAGAAAAGTTTAAGAGGGTAAGAGTTATTTAAATCAGAGACAAGGGAAAAACATTACCTGAGGAAACCTTCAGGTTTTATATATTAGGATTCCATTCTTATTCTCTCCCTCCATCCTTCCTCCCAACCCCCCCATCTCTATTTCTGCCTCTCTTCCTTCGTTCCTCTCTCCCATTGGATTTTTTCATTAATCTTTAGTGGTTCTTACTGAAGAAAATCTGTGATATAGCCATTCATATATTCATTCAACAAACAGTAACTACTATCTGTTAGACACTGTTCTGGAGATACAGATGCTCTTACAAATAAGAAGACCCCTGCCTTCAGGGAATTCATAGTCTAAAGGAGTTATAGACAAGAAAATCACCCTTTATGGTAGAACGCATACTGTGTTCAGGTGTTAGCTGGGACTTCCTGGCCCCTTGAGATTTAATGAAGATCAGAAGGACAAAATTCCCATTTCATGTCCTTTTGAAGGCCAAAGCATGCCTCCAAGATTGCTATTGCATTTGCAGTCTGCTGTGCTCTGATTTCCTGCTTTCTGATGTACTCTGCATCTTGTAGCTGTTCTTTATCTCTGTCCTGACATAACCCAAACTTGGGATGCAGCTCCTCTTCTATTCTCCCTGCCACCCCCATCTGCCTCTTCTCTTCCCACGCAAAGAGATCGTGAAAATAAAGCTGATAATGTGTTTCAAAACTTGAACTGCGAGTTTTGAGGTCATGTGAAAACAAAGCAATAAACTTCAAATGGCACAGGGCATAGGTCCCCCATCACCAGAACTTTCTATCTGTCTGCCTCACCCAACGGAGCACCTGGACTTGTGCCAGTCTTCTCTTGTGCCTCTCTCCCTCCTGATTCTCCTCCTCAGGCCATCCCTCCTGCCGTGGGCTCTCCCACCCCAACACTCCAGCTCTGGGATGTTCTTGCAGTCTCTTGTGCAGAGTAATTATGTTCTTTTCATGAAACCCCAATTCAAATCCAGGCCATTTTGTTCATACCTAAACCCATCCTGGTGCTCAGGCAAGGAGCCTCTTGCGGTCTAGAACCCACTCTCTGTTCTCCTTACATAAGGCGGGCAGTTGTGCTCATGTACTATCTCCCCCTCCTTTACATGTGTGGATTCACTTAGATATCCCCTCAGCAATATTTGCTGGATGTCTGCTATGTATCAGGTACCATTTTAGGTGCTGGGAATAAAGCTGTATACAAGACAGGCACAGGTCCTGTCCTGGTGGATTTACATTCTGGAGAGTATGTACAAGATGCTCTGAAGAAATAGAGGATGGGATTGCAGATCAGGGAAAGCTAGGTCTGAAAGGACAAGCAGGGTTAATCTGGGTGGATCAGAGGATGGCAGTTCAGGCAGAGGGACTCAGTGAAGTGGCTGTAAAGTTCTCCACTCTCCATTCGGGCTGCTGGAATGAAAAGGGAAACAGAAAATGTGGTTTATTTCCATCATTTCTTCCTCCAGCTTCCATACCTCAGTACTCAAGCAGTACCTTTTGGGCAGAATTGAGATATGAGATCTCTCAGGAGGAAGAAAGTGTGGAGTCTCTCCCCTTTGCAGTTTCTGGGTGGAGCCAACAGATAGGAGAGGTTTATTTGAATTGGTTTCTCTTCCCCAGAATCTGGGCCCCTGGAGCACAGCTCCCTCCTCACCTGGGCAGATCCCAAGGAGGGAACTACTCTGCAGTCTCCTGGAGAAGGGAAGCCAGGGTATGGCTGGAGGGTTTGTTTATGATTTGCAAAGGACTGTGGAATACGGGATTGGAGACCAGGGCTGCTGCTAGGTCACATGTAGCATTTATGCAAAACAAAACTATATATATATATTGCCACTTCTTCTGGGATGATGCAACTCAAATCTAGGATACAGAGCTTGGAAAGTGAGAGATCCCCCCAAACAATTCCTTGGGCAGGGTGCAACCCCAACAAATGGTGAAACAGTCTGTCCCAGGTTGCATAGAGTCTATAAATTCAAAAGGTTGAATAAATTGATGAGGTTCTTACAGGACCTGAATCCACAGATGTACTTGAAGAGTAGGTTCCTCACAAGGCCCAGAATGATTAACTAATGAAGTGGGAGTATTTCAGGAAATGAACCTCACAATGGGTCCATCTTTTCCCTCCTTCTCATCCAATTAACAGTAACAGTGATTAGTCTTTACTGAGTACACCTGGCAGGTTCCAGACACTGCACTAAGTCACAGAGATTACGTCAATGAATTCTTAGGACAACCCTGTAACCTAGGTGGATATTATTACTACCATTTAATGTTTCAGGAAACAGAAGCTCAGGTGGTTGAACTAGTAAGTGGTTTTTAACTTAGAGCCCACTTCAACTCCCACTCTTTGCTGGCTATATCCTTTTCTTTCCCTCCCTCACCTTTCCCTCTCTTTTCCTTCACTGTCTCTGCCTCTGAAAGCAGGGGGAAAAGAAAAACTTTCAGAGGAGCCATGTTAATAAAATATTCACTGAGCTTCCTGATAACTCTACAATTGACCTTTAGCTCTGACATTCCCAGACACTGGGCTTTCCAAACAAATAGCTTCCCTTTGTTGTTTGGGGTTTGCCTCAGAGCCAGTATTCTGAAAATCCTGGCTTCAGGTTTCCAAACCTAATCCTTGCTGGGTGGTAATCCATTTCAGCACACAAACAAGAAAACAAAGCTCCACTTGGTCCTTGGCCTGAAGCTCTGTGGCTTTTCTGGCTTACCTAACTAAAGGTGCGATGGGGAACCTACTTTCCGTGGTCTTTTCTAGAGGACCATTTGCCATCTGAGGAAAATGAATATAGAACAGTACCTGCTAGTTTCTATGCAAAGAGTTTCCATGTTTCCCCCCATGTTTTTGGCATAGTTCTGTGTAATTCCCTTAGTTGAACTAGCCATCTCCTCAAGAAATCATAAGCTATACAGCAATTTAAGTGAAGTTTATAACACCAGAGCCTCTATGGCAGTATTCCCTTTGACTTGGTTTTGAACAACCTTATACTTTAAAAAAATGTGGAGTCTACTTAAAACATGGACCTATCCACGCACTTTTAACCTTTGTTAGAGAATGTGGTGTAATGAAGATACACAGCTAATCCATAAAATATCTAATTTTGGTGAAAAATATGTAACATCCAATATATTAACATCCAAATAAGATAACCTAATGTTCTTGGTTATTGGTTTCCAAAGACTGTTGAACATTTCCTTCTTTGGCCTTGGAGGAATTTGCTCTGGGATTTCAGCCTGGCCCTTGACTTGCTGAAAGACTACAGATTTACATCAAAGCAAGTAGGCTGGGAACAAAGCAACTAGTGAAAATGAAAGTAAGAAGTCTTGAGCCCCAGGCTTAGCGTGTGTTCTTTAGAGAGGGAAGATAGTGCCGCTGGGGTCAGGAGAAAGTCACTGGCGGCCCTTGTGCTTGCTAATGCCAAGCAGACCTCCTGATCCAGATAGATCAACGAAGTCCAAAGGCGAAATGTTTCGATGTAACTGTTACAGCAGGGTCCTGGCTTCACTGAGATGCTGCTCTCCCAGGGCTTATTTTACCATTTGCCATTTAACCATTTCCCCTCATGATGACTTTCCCAATTCAGTAGGGAAAGTGAGTGAGAAAATGTCCAGATCGAAGCCCAAGCTTTGGGAGATCACAGCTAAGAAAGCATAGATAGCCAATTCTGATCTCGTTTAGTAACATGATACAGTGCTGGAATATGCCAGGAAGGAAAGGGGACCAGATTTGTGTGGGTTTGCTGAGGTTGAAAGAGCAGTGTCTTCTACTTAGTCCTGGGGTTGAGGTTAGGGAGTGGCACTACTTTTGAAGATCATGAAGTATATATTGACTTGCCAGAGGTAGACACATTTTAAAAACTTCAAATGTGTGATATTACAGAGTTCATTTTCTCCTCACCTCTTGAAAGGAAACTTGCAGAGACAAGATCGGAGCAATTTTGAACACTACTGCATTTTCCAAGTTACGATTCCTAGACCTGTGTGGCAAAATTAAAAACAGTAGAATGAGAGGAATGAGGAGACCACTGTTCTGATTATAGCTTAGCTTCTATCCAGTTGAGAGAATCCAGTAACTTTTCCAGGTCGGTTAAAAAGAGGGGCATGGATCTCTAGTTGACCTCAAGGGCTCTTGCACCTCTTAAATTCAATGCTAATATAAACATAGCACTCTGCCTCTGATAGGTTGCCACAATTTTAATATCTCCTACAACATATAGGTCAATTGTAGACCAAGGTCACAATGTAGTAGTATCCTCTAAAACATTTTTCTTTTATGTTAAGTTGAACTACAAGTCTCTGAATTGCTATATAGATACCTCATTGTACTTTGTAAACATTCTATATGGCTCCAAAAATGCATCTGAGACACAAAAATGTATTGTCTTTCTAAACCACTTACATATGTAGTGTTTAAAATGGAAAACACAGTTGTATGGAAATACAGCGTTTTTCTCCGGATTGTAATAAAAGGTTTATGTGATCGATGAACAGTGCTTTCGCTGCCCTCTGCTGCTCTAAGGAGAACACTGGATTTGGAAAGCCTAGTCTTACATCTGATTGGGGAAGGCCAACTTTTCATTTATGGTCATTATTATTAATGCTTGCTGGCACCGTCCAAGTGTAACACTATCTGACTTAGAAAATCCCAACAGTGAAGTAGCCAATGGCCTGAAACCAAATAAGCACTATGTTCTTGTGAGTCAGGATTTTCTAAAGTCTTCTGGGGTTTTATTAGTTCTGAGTGTTCTTCCTACAAGATCACTAATATGTAGAAATAGCTGTTTATTTAGAAGTTGATTATAGGGTGTTTTTTAAAAAATCAGTAATTTCTCAAAACATGAACGGTTAATAGAAATGGCAACAAAACTGATCTTAGATGAAAACCTTGCTCCTTTAAAAAGGAGAGTGAAGCTTAATAGAATTGCCTTGTGGGAATGTTCTACTGTTTACATTTAAATATTGGGTGCTTAGCATGAGAAAAAGATTAAATGCTTTTATAGTTTCAATTTTGTCTTCATCTACTTTTAATTAACAATTAGATGTCATTTCTGTCCATTCTCTAAGGGTTCTGTTTAATAATGACAGCAAAAGCTAATAACTGACATTCATAAGGCTTCCTGGAGATGTGCTTGTAATTTGTATTCATTAATCACCAAGCAGAAGATTTTACCTGAAATCTATTTTACTCCTGAATTATAAATTATCAACAGATTTCATTTACTTAACAATTATTTAACTGGCTAGGAGTCAGTAAAACTATTTGGCAAGTTAGTTTGCTTGGTTATTAAGAGTGTGTTTTGAAAATACAAGGAATACTCAAGGGGCTTTGCCTGAAGTCCTCAGATGCCACATGAGGAAAACACAGGAAATTATTGCTCAATGTTAAAATTAAATGCTTTTGATAAAGATTTCCATTTTGTGATGGTTAAGGCAGGCATTTAGTTACATTTTCTTGAACATTTTTTTCAGGGTTAAGTCAATGAGGTCATAGTGTAAGATGTGCCTTCCCGTTATCTGAGCTCTGAATGGAAACACCAAACAACTTCTTGAGAATCTTAGCCAAGTCCAGTCTGTCTCCATTGCCACCTCCACCCTCCAATTGGGAGCAGAGTGTCCTTCTATCTGGGCAACTTTTTTCAGTCTCCTCCATCCTACAGTCAACATGGTTCTTCACCTAGTGGCATCACAGGAACATGGCAGGAAGTGTAACATCTAACCACAGTCTATCCGTACTTACCACAAATTGGGTTAGCGCTAGCCTGTCTAAACTAAGGAATATTTTAATAAAAGATTCTATAATATTAATTGTTTTCATACAGTGAACATACTGTGAAATTCTGGGGGCAATAATGAATTATCTTCATCTCCCCCTTTTAATCTCTGAACGAATTAGACTAAAGTTAGACTGAGGTTAAAAAAAAAAATCAGCCTTATTATTGGTAAAGTTGGCTTAGAGAACGTGGTATGACTTACGACCACATCAGTATTTCCATAGGTTCACTTCATCTTGGAAGCATTTGCAAGTGCAAAAAAAACAAACAAAAAAAAACACAAAAACCCTGTTCTACCTAGAAGAGTTCTGGTACACAGTAGATGCTTTATAATTCCTTGCCAATAAATGAACAAATGAAGCAATCAAATCCAAAAAGTTACTTCTGCTTTCCTCAGAGGAACTTCAATATAAATTCCAGAGTACATGGAATATTTTCATTTGTCTTGACCCCCAATGACCCTTTGCCTCTTTGGACTGCCGAGCTGCTAGCATGACACTCTCAGGGGTGGCAGAAAGCTGAAGTGGCCTTCAGACTGAGCGCTTCTAGTGCCAGTGAGATGTCCTGTCAGCACCTTTTCCTCTCTCCTCTCCCTTCATCTTAAAATACATGTTATTCTCTGATGTGAAAATGGATACATTTAATTTCTGAGATTTTCTCAGTGCCTTAGGCCAGCTGTTTTGGCTCAAGTATGATTAATTTAAACACCAGCTGCTGTTTAGTAACTTACTCTAATCAATCAACAGATATTTATTATGTGCCTTTTAAGCAGAAAGCAAAGAAAAATGCGAAATAAACTCCTGACTGAAGAACAGGGAGCGAGTCCCTGCTGATGGTTGTGTTTTGCCAGTGTTTTCAAGGCAGCAGAGGACTGGAATGCATATCTCAAATGTTCAAGGCTTAGAGTAGCACTCACACAATCCATTTTCCTTTTAGGTTTTTATCTTGAAATTGTTAATTTTACTCACAGTAAAGGTGGACGGGACAGTGTCACTTGGACCTGAGATTAGAATGGGTCTTCCTTTTAGGGAACTAACATTTATTAAGTTAGGCTAAAGTAGCACTTCCTTTAGAGAATTAACATAATATTTGATTAAAGTGAATTGGCCTCTGGTGGTGGGCCTCCTGACTCACCCATTCACAGGCCAGAAAGCTGGCAGGAAGAACAGAAGCAAGCTGACTGTACCTGGGTCAAGTTTGCTTATTACTTCCTGGACCATGAAGCACAAGTGAGCTCACCGCCCATGAGCACAGCCCATCCAAGACAGTAAGAGACAGGATTGGCCATCACTAACTTTTCAATTCAATGACCACAGCCTTTGGAAAAATCATGGCTCAATGGCTTTCAGGCTCTTCACCAATCAAATTAGCTCCTCTTCCCAGAGGAGAAGTGACAGGAGACATCCGGAAGTGTTATATTGTCCCACCTGTGAGGCAAATGGACGTCTCCTCTTCTGAGAAAGAACGAAGAAGAGAATAAAGGTCTCCTCAATACCAAATTATTCTACAAGGGCAGACCTCACAGGGCAGTCCCTATGACTGTCATAGTGCTCTGCTGATTGTCCCGAACACCACTGCAGGTTGACGTGTAGAACTCTATTTAATCTCTACATAAATTCTGATGTAAGAATTATTTTAACTTCTTACTGAGACCCTCATCAGAACATAAAAAAAGGAAAGAAAGAAGAATGAATATTTACCATAGATACTGAAAGAGATCTGAGCCTGCAAGCAAAATCTGATCCTCTTTTGTTTCCCATTTGGGAAAATAAACTACATATATATATATATATATTTTTCTTTCCCCCTCCCTTTCCCAAAATGCAGGAGCTAATTTGTCTGAAGTAACTTATAAGGTAGCCTAGCAAATCTGTCTCATGTTTGATTCTGATTTCTTTCCATCAGTTGTAGCATTCCTCTCCTAGGATTGTTGTCAGGTTTAAAGAAATATAGTTGAAAATGTTTTGCCCAGTGCCTAACATTTTAAGTCACACATCTCTGGGTTTGAATCCTGGCTGTCTCATGTACTAGCTCTGTGACCTTGGACAAGCCACTACTATCTCTCTGAGGCTAAGTTTATTTTTCATCACATGGTGGGTGCTTATTAATTTTAGTCCCTTTCCTTCAAATGTTAGAAATGAATTAAATATCATGGAATCAGAAATACATACTTCATAAGCTGGCTGTCCCCTCCAGCTTCCATTTTGTCTCCCCATCCACACCATTTTTTTGCAGGCAACAAATGTAGTAGAAAATATTTGAACCATTGAGTGAAACAGTCATAATTTTTAATTTCTGTTCTACCATTCATTAGCTATGTGATCATGGGTAAATCATCTAAAAGGTCTCATCTCATTACTGTGCTAAAAATCTTACCACAATGAGGAGAAGCCAAAATTCAGACTCGTATCTGAAAGAAGAGAATTATAGTACATCAACTATCATATTTTTTCCTGCATTTTAGAAAGTAGTTTATATATTATAGGAGGTCTTTATATCTTCAACGACTCATTCACTTGTAAGGTATACCTGTGCACTACGTTTGTGCGCGTGCAGACACACACACACACACACACACACACACAACCACGCTCACAAAGAGGTCCGCTTCCTTCCAGGGTGCTTCCAATTTCTTTGGGAAAGCCACAGCACAGTGCCAATGATAACTGGCAATCTCTGTTACTATGATGAGTGAGGATGGTCAACACCAAAAAATTTCCCTTCATCAAATGTAAACATGTGTCCTGCCAAGTACTTTCCACTTACTTTTTAAGCTTCATGTTTTTCATTGGAAATTTAATCCATGTGTGCTGAGTTATTTATTGAACTCAGAATACTACTGGGCAAATGCCAGTTTGTATCCAAAAAATTACCTCCTCACAAAAGAACCCACCATAAATAGCCACATTTTTCTTCCTTCCTTTTATTTTTTTAACCAAAATTTTGAATTTTAATTAGGATCAGAACTAAAAGAAGCCTAGCTTGGTCCTGAAGTTACATACAAGTTATACTGACTACACCCATCACTAGTCTCTGAACATACACTGAAATAAGCAATCTGCCATCACTCAGACATATTAAAAAAATAAATTGTATATTGACCTGTTTTCAGATTCCTCTTCACAGAAAGGGAAGTCAGGTATTAACGCTCCCACTTTACGGCTGAGGACACTGACTTAGAAGCAGTCAACAACTTGCTTATCTTGGTCACCTGACCTACATTGTGGAGAGGAAAATTGAACACAGCTGAGTTAAACTCAGATTATTATTACATTTGATCTAAGAAAAGGGGCATTCTGCAACACCTCCTGGGGGAGAATACATTTTAGGGCCCAAAGAGTATCTTGGCAGCAGCCAGGGCAGCTTTCCTCAGTGGGATGAGGTGGGAGGTGCTCGCACAGGTGCTGTATCATCAGTCTCGTGCACTAGAGAGTCCACGCTGAGGCAGAGAGGTGGGTTTTTTTTTTTAAAAGCCAAGTTGTACTACAGGTTCTGTTATTTATGAATAGTCCAGTCCATCTGTAACTCCCCTGCCCGTTATGGCCCTGGCTCAGCGAGGCCCAGCCCCAGAAGATTGTGTGACCCTCTTGCCAGATTAGGTCTGAATTCCCATAGAGTCCTCTCATCAATATTTATGACTCTGCTCCCTCGTGTGTTCCAAATCGATGTCTCGTCCCTGTCCTATCATTCACCTTCTACACTGACTTCAGCAATTCAGCTGATTTCAGCACGTCTCTCTGCTTGAATATGTGCTAACAACGTACTCAAATATAATCAAGTGTTATTGCCGAAACACGTTAGAAAGAGAGCTGGGGTTTTAGGCCCCTTTCCCCAATATTTTGATTCCCCTTCCTAGATTTTGTTGCTTCTACCAATGATTCCATCATAATTACGAATTTGCCGTCATTCTTGATTTCTGCTTCTTTATAAATCCAGTCTCTCACTGAGTCTATAGTTTTGCTTCCCATTGTGTCTCTTATCTCCTAACTATGGGTTGTTACAGATAAATTCCATTCTAGGCTCTCATCACTTCATATTTGTACAACTTTAGTGGTTTCCTAGTTTCTCTGTCTTCAGTCTTCTCCTGCCCAGTCCATCCTGCTCCAGTAATAATTTCTCATCACTACTGGGTTATATCCAAGTGTCTCATACTGGATTTAAAACTGCTTTTAATGTGGTTCCATCTCACTAATCCACTTTGCTTTCAACGACCTGTCTCACACACCCTCCCACTCTTGTTAGTCAAGCTCCACATCTCTGAAAAACACTATGCTTTTTCCCACCACTGTTCTGTTGTACTTACACTATGGGTCACACATAGCCCAGTCACAGGACTAAAGGAGCTGGACAGAAACCTGCACATGGAATGATAAATAATTTGGGAGATAGATTCCCAAATCTATCCAGTACTAGTACGAGAAGGAAGACAAGTGTAACAAGTGGAATAGAGTCTGGGACAAACATGGGAACAGAAAATTGGGGATAGTCTGAGCAAGCAGTTCCTCTCAGGAAAAGCCAAACTTCAAGAGTGGGGAATGGACTAGTGTACGGATGACAGGCAGAGATGAAGGATCCAAGATAGCCATTCTGAGGAACCTAGGGATACAGACAGCACCTGGGATGTCTACTAACAGGTGGTAGTAGAATCCAAGCATTAGGGCGAAATCCCAAAACAGGATTTCCATCCTGGGAAGAGGAGGCGGTTTGACAAGGGCAAGAAAAGACTCCCATCTCAGAAGAGCTGGGTTTTCATGCAGTTTATCGAGGGCAGCATAAGTCACAAAGAGTAAGACAAGTAGGAAGACAGTTACAAGATTGGTTCTCTAGAACAAAGCAGAATCTTGTCAGAACTGGGTCACCCAAGCAAAACTGACCAGCATCAAGTGACCTAGTCCTATGCCCTGCAAAATACAAGGCTAAGAATATGTGTTCCAGAGCCTCAGAAGGAATCTGCTACAGTAAAAGACTTTGGACTTGAATTTCATTCTCCTGCCACTAGCTATGTGATTGTGCACAAGTCCCTTAACTTTTTGAGCCTTGATTTCTTATACGTAAAAATGGGGGAAATGATAAATATTTTACAGATTTCATATGATGATTAAATAAAGTGCATGCTTTGGTGCCTCTCATTTAATGATAGGCTCGCTGCCCCTCTGTCAGAGCTTCTGAAATCCCTCCTGCCCAAGAAAAGGACTGACCCTAGTGGCGGAGATCCAGCCATTCCACAGATGGCAGGGAAGAACCCATAGGTGCAGAGGCAAGAAATCAGGCAGGGCTGGATGCTGGGATGCCTCCCTTCCCCCCACCTCTCCTCTTATCTCTGTCAGTCCTGAACACGACTCATTCCCAACACACCCCACGTCTTCTGTGAAGCCAACTCTATTCCAAGGATGTCTCCATTCTTTTAGCTCCTTTTGAACAGGCATCTTGCTAATTAGTACTTGATCGCATATAGTACTACAATCCCAGTTTAGACTTCTTTCAAGTATCCATAAGGTTCGTGGTATTGCCATTTGTAATTTTGCAAAGTTGTAACTTTCACTTAGGAGTTCTGTAAAGCTGGTTTGAGGTAGTGGATCACTGGCCAAGAGAGTGAACCCAGAAAATCAGCCCCCACTGTAGTCCGACATACCTTTGATGACATCAAATCATTGCTGCATGAATATTTTATGGGGAAATTATATGCTATTGTAGAATCTGAGTATTGGGAATTTTCTAAATTCTCTGGACTCATCCTTGATTAATTTCAGTGGCCTACAAGATGACAGTTTATTGATTTTTAGTTGCCTCTTGTGCTTTAGCCAGCTTTGCTCAACTAAATTACCATCCTATGAATGAGCTGTCTCTTCTTTCTCTTGGTTCCCCCAAATTTAGCCCAAAGTTGCTTTCATAGTGAGCATTCAACCTGCAGTTGTTGAAATGATTCAATGACTACATCTTGTTGCCATTTAAATTTTTGTAATTCTAGATAGTCATTTTCTTCAGTTGTCCAGTTACAGCTGACATAAAATATTTTCCCTAGCACAATAAAAATAGAAGTAAAATATAAAAGAATTGAGTTTAATACTCATTTTTTTTTACAAGAAAAGCACTACAAACCATTTGCAGGGAAATTTTGGCTACACATCATCCTTGTCACCAGTTGGCTTATGAATAATCAGGGTAATTCACAATATGTTGTTCAGTTTATGGACTATATATCTGTATTCCAATGTGTTTTCCACTTGCTCTAATGACTTGCTGAAATGAAAAAATACTCAGCCTTTTTTACAAAGTAATGAGTGTCAATATCCAACCACATCTCCCTGCTTCCAGATTATTAATTTTTTGCTTTCATTTTTAAATTTTTTTTTTCACTTTGGAAAATGATACAAGGACTTTATGGCTAATTATGGGTACAAATACTAATTACTAATTACTCCTGACATTACTCACACACATTTAGCCCATCTCTTGAAAAGTGACTATCACCTTTTACGTGTAGGACTCTAACCTCTTCCATTTTGTACAACTTATTGTTTTACCCTGTGCAGTGACCTTTAGCTGAATTCCATTTTTCAGTAACACCCCCACAACACACACACTCTTTCACACACCGTTGCCAATGCCATCACTCTGGCGCAAACCTTTATCATTTACACCTGGCTGACTTGGTAGTCTTCCAGAGGCAACTTTGGACTTGTCACTTTCCCTTTTAAATGCTTCCATGCTTGCGGCTCTACACCCTTCCCCTCCCCTCAGCACAAATACAAATGTCTGCACAATATAATTCCAGCCTTCCTCTCCAGAACTGTGTTCTTCTCCCCTCCATCCTTCACCCGCTCCACCCACTGCAACACACACCCTCTGCCTGCTGAGCTGTCCCTTGAATGCTGGCTGTGCTTTCCCACACCAGAGCTTTGGTTGTGCCATTTCCGGGCTACCATGTTCTCTCTCCCCATCGCTACCTGCAGAATTTAATGTACACTTCAAAGCCCGGACTAAGATCAGTTCACTGTGTAAGCCCTTTCCTGGACAATTATCTAAAATCTCCCCCTTAAGTCTTAAGCACACATTACCATGCTATGTATCTAGTAGTCACTATTTATTGCCTTATTTTGTAGTTGTTTACACACATCACTTTTTACCAGATTGTATGCACTTTGTGGACAAGGACTGTGCCTGGCCCATCTTTGTATTCCCGCATTATTTACTTCAATGCCTTTCTTATAATATGTGCTCAATAAATATTTCTTCACTGGATGCATATTCTCTCATTATCTGTACTATATTTTCAGCACAGTAATGGGGTATCAATAAAGGCATCTATTGAGATGCATACAAATCGGATCTCAGAAATTCATGTAAGTATGAACTACAGTTTGAGCAATTACTTTCATAAATTACAGGGTCTTGATAAATGATAAATGATGGTGATATGAGAACACCAAGAGGAAAAGAATTTTTTTCTGCACTCACTCAGCATACTGGAACAAGTGGATATTTCATGATTCTGAGTCCCTTGGCCTGGTAAAATCAAGAGAGGAGACTGAAGCCCAACTATCACTCGTCCACACTTACATGATCTCAAGTTAAACACTACAGAGTGGAAAAAACTCTTGGTCATTGAGAAATAAAGTTGTCCATGTTTTATACTATATTCTGTTTTTAAGCTAATTTAAAGGGAAAACTTCCTGGATGAAAACCATCATATTACCTTTATTAATGACAGCTCCTGCTAGTAACGATACATGTCACATATAGTATTAAAAAACCTTTCCCTCTGTTTTATGGAAATCTTGATTTTTCAGTTCTTTTCAG